TTTTAAAAAATATCTCCTCTTGTATGTAGTCTTGGTTAAGTGAATCCCAGGGTGCTTTGGTTTTTGTTTCTATGGTAAATGATATTTTACTTTTGGCTATTTACTGTAAGAGATGTTGTTGATTTTATAGGTTGATCTTTATCCATGTAACATTGCTAAGCTTATGTTACTGCTAATAATTTATTTCTGTTGATTTCTCTAGCAAGAGGATTATATATTTTGAAAACACTGAAAGTTTCAGCACTTCCATGTCAATCCATCTAGTTGTTCTTTTTTTCTTCCTTTTCAGCATCGTCCGATCTCCAGTAGCAGCAGGGAGGGAAATATTGATCTTATCCTTACCTTGAACAAAGAGTATCTATTCTTTCTCCATTACGTGTAAGTGTGTATTTGATGTGAACTTTCGGCATCTAAGCTTTATCTACTTAAAGAAGGTTTCTTCTAGTTCTAGTTTCATGAGTTTGGGTTATTAAAAATAAGTACTAGTTTTTTTAAAAATAGATATTCATCATCAAAAGTTTTTTCTGCAAAGATAGAGGTGTATTGTAGAGCTCTTCATTAGTTTTTTAATGTAGGGACTTAATAATCATTAATTTTTATATTAAGCTACCATTTTATCCCTTGAATAAGACTTATTTGATTTTGATATGTTATTTTTAAACAAATAATTGTGCTCAGCAACTATTTTATTCTCTGGTTATACATCTACATTCATCAGTGAAATGAGCCCATAAGTTCTATAACTTTTGTCTGTGGAGTCAAGATTATACTCAATGCATAAATTGAACTAGGCAGCTTTCATTTTTTCCTGTTTTGTGATACAACTATGTAAGATAAATCTATTTCTTTAAAGGATGGTAAAATTCATCTGTGAGAACAAGCTTGCAATCTTTTTGGAAGGCAGAGCTTTGACCTCATTTTCCATTTGTTTAATATTTATTGAACTATTTCAGGTTCTTTATTCCTTTTTCCTGTATTCATTTTAAAATCTCATACTTTTCTATAAATTTATTCATCTATCTATAATTTTAAATTTAGTAGCATGTAGTGTTCACGCGCTCTTCTATGTCCTTTTAATCATGGTGTGTAGGTATTTCCCTCTTTCCATTTCATATTAAATTTATTCTTTTTTATTGCTAAATCTTTCAAGTATTTTTATTGTTCACTATTTTATTAGTTTCTGCACTTATTATAATAATTTCTATTTTTTCTTATTTGTTCAATTATGCTTTTCCAAATTCTATCAGTAATTTTTTATTTTGCCTACTATTAACATTTCATATTTCCTGGTAAATGAATTAAAGCTAAAAACTTCCCTTAAATTTTCATCTGGGTCTCACCATTTTGATGTTTGGTTTTGCTATAGTTCTAACATTTGTTAAATTCCTTTATGGTTTTAACTCAAACATTATTTAATAGTATCATATTTGTTTTCAAACATGTGGTTGTTTAGCACTATTTTTCTTACTAACTTCTAAATGTATTCATTAGTGGTTTGCTATCTGTGTTGGTTAAACTTAACTGTCAGTGCGATTGTCTGGGGAGCTCCCTAGTGGGTGAGTAAGGCACACAGCTGAGTGTGCTTGAGTAGATCTTGGAGGCATGTGCTTGAGTACTCTATCTAGTCCTTAACCCCTTCCTTTCTGGCACTATTTCCCTTCTTTGTTTCCTGGACACTGAAAACTGAGCAGCTTTGCTATGTTATACCCTTCTGCTATGTATTCCTCACTTGGAGCTAGCTAACAATGGACTGAATCCTCTGAATCCATCTGACTGTGAGTCAAATAAACTTTTCCCTCCTTAAGTGGGAATGTCAGGAATTTTATTCAGCAATGGAAAAGCTACAAAAACTTGATACCAGAGGGGTGGGGTTGTTGCTATACACCTGATCTTGCAATTCAGAAACCTTTGGTACTCTTTATGAGAGAAATTTGCAACAATTGGGAAAGGTAGGCTAGAAAAAACCTAAATGCTGTAAGCACAACTTGGTGTGTAGTTCTGTTCAGAGCTCTAAGAACTATGGACTAATTAATCTCTTAGAGGAAATTTTAAGACAGTCTAATGTTCAGACTGTGACATGAACATTGCTGGCTACTTTTAGCCAGATTGGTAGTAAGAATCAGGAACAAAATCAGAGCTGAAAAATGTGAAAAATTTACAGTTTGACCACAAAGGCCATGCTTGTAAAATTTGAGCCAAGGACAGTGTGATTGCTGAAAAGATTGATGCCATTAAATAGAAGACAGGGTTTTACATGGAGACAGTAAGAAAAATGGTTTGAGGGCATCTAAGGAATTGACCACACACCATCCATCACAAGCTCAAGAATGTAAAGCATAAACTCCTTTGAAAGACTTTTTTTGAGAAGTGAGTCCCGAGGCACCCTGCTCACCCGGGGATGTCTAAGAAAGTATATCATGTTCAGCTGTCCAGGCACTCAGAGGGTACTAAAACTGTGGTCCAAAGGAATCTGGCTACTGATCACACTGGAAACCAACCTTGGCATCATTCATGTGATACCAAGAATTGTGGGGTATTATAATTAGATGCTCCCCCCAAAGACCCACGTGCTCACTGGGCTTTTAGTAGGTGATTGGGTCATGAAGATGTGATACTTACCAGTGGATTAGTCCTCTGATGATTTTTTTGGTAAATGTGATCTGGAAGGTGAAGACTGGTTGGAGAAGGTGGGTCAGTGGAGACATGACCTAGAAGGATGTATCTCCATCCTTCTCTCCTCGATCTCTCTCTCTGTTTCACTATCATGTCATGAGATGTTTCTCCTCTGTAATGTCCCTCTACTATGCTGCCTTTCCTGGGAGCTAGCCAACTATGGACTTAAACCACTACAAACTATGAGCCAAAATAAATTGTATCTCCTTAGAGTTATGGGTGTCAGATACTGTGTCCCACTTTGGTCTCATCCCTGTCATTCCATTCCCTTATTTCTCCCTTTGGGAAGGGAAATATTTTCCCTTTGCCTCAGTATGTTAGCAGTATTTTAACATCTTTTTTATTTTTCTTGATGCTCACAGCTAAGAGTTTGCCTTAAATCTTAGAGGAGACTTTGGACTTGGACTTTTCACCAATGGTGAAACTGTGAGAGCTTTGACAGCTCTTAGAGGTGAACTAAATACATTTTGCATAGAGACACACGTGGGTCTTTTGGGCACCAGGGCATGATGTTATGGTTTATGACTAGATATTCCCCTGAAGTCTAATGTGCTCATGAGTTATGGTGTCAGGTATTGTGTCTCAGTGATGAGAGAGTAAATAAGACTTGAGTTATGGAGACTCCCACTGAGTTCAAAGTAAGATCTAGAGGCAGTATGTACTTGAGAGGGGACTTAGGAAGCCAAATATACACTGGGGGAAATAAAACCAAAAATACACTGGAGGCCCCAAAAGTCAAAGATGCCAAAATGGTGAATGCTAAGAAAAGCCACGGTAAGCGGAAAGCTACAAGTAGTGCGTGGAACCAAGGGAGAATCTGTGACTGACAAGATTACTGGAAATCACATCTTACTACCGTCGATCGCAGATGCCAGACATGGAGCTACAGGATTTCATGTTGCCTTGCTTGGTTTTCCACTTTCTTCTGATTCTTTTCTGTTTTTCATTCCTTATTTTGCTATGGTACCTTGGAATACTGTAATTTGACTTTTGATTGTTACATGTGCTCAGAGCTGAGACTTTGCCTAGAGTCTCAGAGGAGACTTGGACTTGCACTTTTGGGCAATGCTGAAACTGTTAAGACTTTGGGAAAGGGATTAGTATGTTTTTTATTGTGCGCTGGATAGTTGCACTGGTTATTTTTGACCTTGTGTGTTTGGAGACTAAATTTGGTTAAAGGAGATGTATTTGAGTGTCAAACTGTCAAGGAGTGGAATGTCATAGGGAAATTTAATTTTCAATTTTATTGGCTTGGGAGCCACCTAGGGGATTACTAAAGCACACTTCTGGGTGTGCGGATAGGTTATGGAGATGGGGCCTTGAATATTCTTATCTGGTTCCTGACTCCTTCCTCTCTGACACTGCTCCTTTGCTCTGCCTTCTGGCTGCTGTGAACTAAGCTTTGCCCTGCCATACATTCCCCATGATTCTCTACCTTGGGAGTAGGCTGATCATGAACTGAATTCCCTGAAACTGTGAGCCAAATAAACCTCTCCTCCTTTAAATTGTGGGTGTTAGGTATTTTATCCAGCAACAGGAAAGCTATTACCCAATAGACTATCTGTTCTCATAAATCTTCTGTGTGTGCTTTAAAAAGAAATCTCTTTTGCTTGTTTAATTTTATTGTTAGGTCTTTGATATTTCTGGGGTTTTTTTTGTCGATCAGTCTACATTTGAAAGATAACACTCTCTACAGTTCTTTCACTTACTACCTTAAACTATGTTTATAATAAATGTTTTTTCTTTATATTATTTCCTTTATATATAGTGTCCATCATCTCTGTTTTATATTTTTTGCCTTAAATTCTTATTTTATAAGAGACTAACATTGCTAACCTAGTTTTCTTTTAGTTATGATTACTTAATATGGATTTTTCAACCCACTTTTATTTATAACTTTCTGTATTTTTGTCTTAAGTCTTTTTGGGGGAAAGACAATGTACATCTAGTTGCATGGTATTTTGTTTGTTTTTAAAAATTTAATCTAAGATTTTCTTTTTGGTGAACTTAACCCTTCTGCTGCTATATTAAAATTTAGCTCTTTTGTCTTATTTTCCATTTGTTCTGTTCCTTAAATTTCTCTGTACTAAATTCCATTGGATAGATCAAATGTTTTTCTGTAAGATTAAAAATGATACATTCCTGTTTTATTCTTCTAGTGACTCACTTTCCATTTTCATATTTACCTCAATTGTTTTCTTAAACTTATAGCTGTCTATATTGTCTCCCTTCCTGTCCTGGCCTGCGGGCAACTCCACGAAGACCCAAGAGGGGATTGGGGGTGAAAAGGAACAAGAGACACAAAAAGCGGAGACAAGATGAAGAAGTCCAATCAAGTCTCGTTTATTCACGGAAGGAGTAACAAATATATAGGGTATTGAGGAGGAGGGATTTGGGTTCTGAGACGTCAGCAGGTAACTTAGCAACAGTGGCAGGACCGAGGGTTATAGGTCAATTCAAATTTCCGGGTGTGGGCTCATAGGGCAGGCTGATTAACATAATTCCTGAATAGATCAAGCAAGTTAGGTAGGCCAAGGTGGTGCTGCAGGTGTTAAGGTGGTACTGCCCGCAGATGTAAGGTGGCAGCCAATGACAGGGCTTCCCACACCTTCCTTCACTGTGGATCTCACTCTCCCCTTGGGCTTTCTCTCCCTTAGATCCTCCATTATATTAATAAAATTTCAGTTCCGTCTTATTGTGTAAATATGTTTCTTCTAAGTTTTATATGTTAATTCTAATTTTTACAACAATGGTAACTTTGCCTAAGCTTTGTTATTACCCTTATTTCCCATAATTATTGCTTCATCATCTTGCAACCAATAAATGGTTGGCCCTGGTGGTGAGCACAGAGCTAAGAAGCACAACCTAAGAGTGAAGAAAGATTTAATAGCAACAAGTAAGGAAAGCCCCCACCAGGATGACTCCTGAAACATGTCTGTCTAAGCCAAACCAACAGGGATTTTTATTGGCAAGACTTTCACACGTTTGTACTAGAAAGACAGCATCATGTATAGAGGCAGGCACATTCCTGAGCATGGGGAGTTTGAGATCAAGTTCCTTTACACACTGCTTGTTTGAAAATGTCAAACAGGATTGCCTAAGGGCAGAGAAGTTAGCTTTCTAATGAGATTATAATGAACAAGATTTTCTCTAGATAACTGGAGGGACTGAGTGATTTTGGCTGATTTAAATTGGTTCTTTGGAAGGCCCATCTGAAACAGACATGACTTGAAGTGATGTCAGCAGTTGTCTTTGGGGGCAGCAGTATCTTACCTGTCAAGCTTGGGTGCTTCACTCTAAAAATTTCTACCTACTAGCTAGCAGTCTAGATTTATTTCTTATTATGGAAGTGCTTCTTCACAAAGTGTTTTCTTTTCTTTTTTTTTTTTTTTAGCCAGTCAAATTTAGCAGTGGGGGGGTGGTATACCAACTTTAGTGACACTAATGTTAATAAGTTCTGATAACCCACTGCCATCGGACCAGCCACAAAGTGTTTTCAATATGAATCTTTCTGTGGCAAAATTGCTGAAGGTTTATACATTCAAGACACAATATGCTTATTGTGTCTTTACATTTGATTAATAGATTGGTTGGATAGAATTCTTTAATTCTTGAAAATATGTCTGCATGTTCCCTCCAAATATCATCTTTTCTTACACTTTTCTGTTTGCTTTTAGATCTCTCTATACATGAATGTCTTTCTCCGTTCTATTTCTTTAGCTTAATTTTTAAGATCTGTATTTTCTTTCTGCTCTTACTCTTTTCTGTCACATTCTAGAAAAGCCTTTCGATCCTATCTGCTAACTCATCAACTGCTCTTTAGATATATACATTCCACCACTCCTTATCCCTTATATGTGTTTTATTTGCTTGCTTGACTTTTTTAGACCTACTGTTTTACTTAGTTCTTTTTTATGACTTAAAAATTCGATTAATCAATTATTTGTTTAGATATATTTTTAAAACATGAAATCTATTTTAACATAATATTAGATATGTCTTTAGTTATATTCAGAATGTTTATTTCAAATACTTCTGCAGATAATGATTGCACAATTTGTCTATTTGTGCTTCGGTTTGAATGTCTCACGATTTGGGGTATTGGAAACTTACTCCTCCAAATCCTACTTTAATGGTCACAGGAGGTGGTGCCCCAGGGAGATAATTGGGATTAAATGAGGCATGAAGTTAGGGCACCCATAATGCGACTGGTGGCTTTATAAGGACAAAAGATTCAAAGCAGCAAGCTTGCTCTGCCTCACCATGTGATGTTCTGCTCGTGGAGTCTGCAGGGATCCCCACCAACAAGAAGCCCACAAGAAGTGGTCCTTCAACCTTACTCTTCTCAGCCTATTTTCTTTATAAATTTCCTTATCTCCAATAATTAGTCATAGTAACAGAAAACAGTTTATTTATTTGGTACTTGTCTTGCAGTAGTTATTTTGCTTGCCATCTTCTGTTTCTTCTTTCTCTACCTGGGGGCGTGTCCTCTACTCTATTTTGTACCACATATTGGAAAAGCCCAGTGGTGTCGATGGAGAGTCCCACATGCCAAGGTGTCACATCTGATCATCTAAGCTGTTAACCTGGAGCCGGCAGACAACTCTGGTCAGCATTTCTTAGTTAACCCTTCATGCTAAGCAGTAGTGACAGGAGGCAGCCCTTCTCTTGAGTGTGTGGAGAGGGAGGTTAGCTGCTCAGTTGACAGTGCTCTCTGCCAGGCTTTTTACATGGCCACAAATTTGTCCTGCAGACAGCTGCACCAGTAGTCCAGGCTCTGATCAGTGTGCTCTATACTGAAAGGGCAGGCCACACTGTCATGAGGCTTCACTGGGGACCATGCAAGGACAGCCCTCCCAATGCTTGCTTCTCTGTGATCAGTGTCTTTACTGTTCCTTCTGGATGCTTCACCCTGGTCTCAGCACCTCCACCTATGCGCAGCAGCTCAAGAGGATCTTCCCAGACGATCTCATACTGGGAGTCTTGTTTTCTCTTTAGTTATTGTTTTGTTCCACAAATGTTTCTCAAATGTCCATCCCCCTCTTGCTCCTGTTTCTGCAGTGCTGATTAGCAAGCAGCCTGATCTAGTTTACCATCTTAGTAGGAGCCTAACATAATAAATACAATGTTCGTGTCTGATTAGCAAGCAGAGGAGCATATCTTTCCTGGTTTTTCTTGATTTTGTTTTTAATAGGGAAAGGTTTTCAACTGGTTGCAAGACTTAGGTAGATCCCTGTCGAAAGGAGACAGGAAAGAGAAAGGAATACATTCTCTATTGTGTGCTCACTAAGTCCTGGATACTTGCTAAGTACGTGAGATGGATACGAAATTTACCCTATAAAATTTATTCACGTAGTTTATTTCTCTGAATCAGGAAAACCACTCTGGGGCCACCTGGTTAGCAGAAAAGCTCCCCCTTCCTTAGACCCTTGGAAACCCCAAGAGAAACAGCCTTCCGCCGCTTCAGAAGTGCATGCATTAAAGGCTAACTGCTTATCTATATCATTCCTTTGATGACTGCAGTCTGGACGCAGGCTGCTCAGCCTCTCTGTGCCAGGCACCAGCCCAGGGGATTTTCTCTGAGATTTCCAAAGCAGCAGCTCACAGTGTACAATCTCCTTCCTCTCCGATGCACATACCACTTGGTGGGGCGGGGGACTAACAGAAGATGAGCCCAACACTGAAAAATCCCAGAGTGCGCATGCACTGGTCCTCTCCAAGTAGCTTTTGCAAATTCTTCCTCTATTTCTCCTTCCCAACTCCAAGCCTTTCTGTTGTCTGGGCTAAGAAAGTCTTGCCTCTTCTTAGGAAATGGATTTGAAAGACAAAAGCTTTATGCTCCTCATGAGAGAAAGCGTGTAAGGCCAGCTGAAAAGTTTAAAAACACAATCCCATTAGTGAGACAATACCATGTTTACGCATACTGCTCTGATTAGCTTCCTGTTTTGACACTTGGTTTCATTGTTGTATTTATCTTTTTTCTTTCCTTAAAATAAAATAATAATAATAAACATTTTAGAAAATGAAAAGCACAATCGCTCTTGTTTCCAAGGAGGAGGCTGGCAGAGAGGAGTGGGTTAGTCTGCTGCTGCTTTTATATGTAACCTTGTGTCACACGTCACATCTGTAACCCCCTCAGGACAGCCCTGCAGGGTGGCTGCAGTGCCCAGGCCTCTTCTGCTGGAGGGAATAGGGGGAGCTGTAGCCTCACCCTGGGCACAGCGCCCAGCAGCTGGTAAACGGTGGATTGTGGGTGAGGTCCAAGGCCCGGCACAACTCTGGAAGCCCATCCATCAGGCTCCCCATGAACTTGCTTTTGTACCTGATCATCACGACTGTTTTAGGCCTGCTTCCTCAGGAGTTGGTGCATTTGTTAAGAACAAATGCCATCTGCTGTCAGAGCACAGCTAATAACTCTCCTTCGGGAGCCTCTGCTGACTTGTTTGGCTCACTTCCCTCTCCTGCATAAGTTTCCATGGAGCTGGGGCTAAAACATTCCCACTTCACCCCTGTTTCTACTGACGCTTTGGGAGCTCAAGTAACTGGGTCCCATAGGAAGCTTAGTATTTGGTGATTAAATCTCTGACTCCCAAACCTTCAGATCCTTTTTGGTCTGACTACCCTCATGTGGGCAGGAATACAGAATGATCTCAGTTTCATGCCTACAGTCACTTCACACACACACACACACACACACACACACACACACACGCACGCACACACATGCACACACATGCACACACCTTCTTTGTATCAGGCTTACCACTTCTTTATAAGTTTCCAGAAGGGAGCCAAAAGCCCCAGGCCACTGAAGCATTCTTCAAACACCTTTGCAACTTCAGCAGCCAGGCCCTGGAATATGACGGTGTGGGCTGACCCCAGCTCCCAGCACTGAGGCTGTGCTTCCCCTGCGGGGCTCTGAGCAGGAACAGTAACTGGTCAGGCTCTGGGGACAGCTGCCCAGCCACTGCTCCCGATGGTCCCTGGCTTCCTCCTCTTGTTTCTCTCCCATTCCTGAAAATATCAGAACGGGGGCTGTGCTGTTCTTCAGTTTCCAAGGCAAAAATCAGGAGCGGGTACATTTAAGACCAAATGCCATCTGCTGTGAGAGCACAGCTAGTAACTCTTCTTCAGGAGCCTCCACTATGACATGCGTGGCTCACCCCCTCCATGCTCTCCCTCTGTCTCATTCCCACAGTAACCCGCCGTATGCTGAAATGTTGTCTAACCCCAAGCACAGTAGCCTATGTCAGGACCTTCTGAACAGGTTGCCTGATGCTGTGGCAAAACCACCCTGGGCCTGCCTGTTCAGAAAAAAGCCCTGATCCAACACAGTTCATCCGCACGGAGGGCCTGGTGCTGCTTACAGTAAAGCCCTGGCGGTGGTCACCAGGAGCAGAAGAGAAAAACACATAAAGAAGCCCCTCTGGTTTCTAACCACTGCTGTCATGTGCTCAGCCTTATTGTTCATTTCATGTAAGGGGCTCAAAATTACCGTGTGAATTTGCTGCCATCCCCCAAGACTGGCTCCCCAGGCCTAGCCCTAAGGCGTCCTAGTTTTTCTTACCAAAGTGCCAAAGGGTAAGAACATAGGGGAGAGGACAGGTTCTGAGGCTGTGCTGTTGCTCTACGGGAGAATCCACAGCCAGAGATGTCCTGACTGTTAAGGACACAGGACAGACACTCAGGTCAGATGTTTGGCCCTTGTAATTCAGGTCTTGCTCCCTAAGGTTGATTAAGGACCCACAGCTTAGAGTCATAGCCTCTGCTATTGGCCACTGAGGTGAGAGCACTATTTGTCTTGCTTGGTCTGTTTCAAAATGTCTTATTAAAATTTTAGAAGAGCAAACCAGGCATCATAGCATATGCCTGTAATCCCAGCTACTCAGCAGGCTGAGGCAGGAGTATCACAGGGCACAGCTACAAACTGGGTGATTTAACTAGACTGTGTTTCAAAATAAAATGGGCTGGGATGCAACTCAGTTGTACAGTGCTTGCCTAGCAAATGTGAGGCTTTGGGTTCACTATCCAGTCACACACACACACACACACACACACACACACACACACACACACACACGGGCAGCGGGGAGGGGAGATACTTTGGTAACAGATAACACCACCAATGTCAGAAGCACAGAGGTGGTGGGAGCCCAGCCTGAGCTGTGGCTCTTGTGATCTGTGGCTCCCCCAAAACTGGGCTTGGCTGGCAGCTCCCCTTCCAGTGCTGTGGAGCTGGGTGGCTCCTCCTTGCTCCCCACATGCTCACCGTCCCAGGATATTCATCAGGACACTTCTGAGTCCGGTCACAAGCCAGGCCCTGCATCAGAGCTGAGAACATAATGGTGGGGAGAAAATAAATTTAAAAGTTGTCACAGAGCTTGTCAAAGCTAGGGAGGAAGACTAACACTCATTACCAAGTTAGACAAATAAATTGTAAATGTACTAAGTGCCCAGACAATGAGGGAATGTTGTCTTGAGAGAATGCATCTCGGGGACTTGAGCTACAAGGCTTCCCTAAGGAGGGGTGACCGAGTGACACTGATGGAGGAGAAAAGTATCCAGGCAGAGGGGACAGCATGTGGCAAGGGCTTGAGGCGGCAGGGAGCATTGACCTTTAGGGGACTGAACGAAGACTGGCGTGGGTAGAAAGGGAGGCTGCCAAGTTGTGCTGTATGTTCCGAATGGAGGGGAATCGGGTGAGCAGAATAATGCAGTCTTTACAGTACTTAAAGTAGTCACATAAAATAATCAGATTTGCATTTTGAAAACTCACTATTGGCTGCTGCAGAGAACAAATTAGAAAGAGACAGTGAAGCGAACATGGATTTTTTTTTTTTTTTTTTTTTTTTTTGAAGAGTAGTCAGGAAGACACGCTGGTAGAGTTACATTCAGGGAAGGGAGAAGGAGGTGTCAAGGGATACAGGTGGACTCTGGCTTCATCACAGGTCATGTAATCAGAAGACAATGAGCCTCGGGGAAGACGATGGCAGTGAGATGTGCTTAAGAGACATGTAGAGACGAGACATCAAGGTGCTTAGAGACATTTCAGGCATGTGGTTAGCAGAGAGGTAGTCGGATATCAATGACAGGAGCACTGGCTAGGAATCCCTTTTGTGACAGAGGCGGTTACCAAAGCCTGGGGCATGGCCAAGTTCACCCAGGAAGTTACAGAGTGGGAGGAGAGAAGAGGCCAGGCAGGGCGGAGGCACCCTGGCTGGGCGAAGAAGGACTGGACAAAGACCAAGTGGAGCTTCCAGAGAGCCAGAGACAAAGCAGGAGAACTCGGTCTTGTAACTGCTGAACGTTTCATAAAAAGAATTTCACCTGTGGCCATGTGGGCTCAGAGGGGTCAATTTATTCTCCTGCCCCAAACAACTATGAAAACAGGCCAGGTAAATGAAACTTTGGTTTTCAGACATGGGGGAACCCACGACAGTGATCCCTGAAAGAAGAAAAATATTTGAGGGAGTTGTGGGATGGATACAGCCAACAGCTTGGAGTTTCCAGACTCCAGACAGAGAGGCAGAACAGAGCAGAGCCTGATGGTCTTCCTGGCTGGAAGAGACAGAAATACGCATTTGAGAGAACATTTTATTCTTTCCCTCCTCTTCTTCCAGAAAGTTTGAAGTACTTTGACATCTGTGCCTCACACTGGGGAGGGAGCTGGGGCAGATGATTTGGAATCAGCTGCTAATAGCCCGTTGAGTAGGTAAAAAGAAGGCACTTGCTTTAATAGGTGACATGTCAAAGGCCAAAAGAGGGTCTGCCTTTCCATGGGGGTGAGTGGGCTGGAAGGAAGGGTAAGGATGTACACAGCCTTCAGGACATCCAGGGTGCTGGCCCAGGCTGGCACCGCCTACCCTGATTTGGGTCTGCCTTTGGAGAAATCTGCCTAGTTCAGTGCCATACCTACCTCTGTGAAGTCCGTAATAAGAAACAGCTCACAGAAGCCCACCTAGCAGGCTTGGAAGTCTCACCCTGCAGAAGAGAGACATGGGCACCATCCTACTCAACCTTTATCCTCCAAGTCACATTAGCGTGTTTTAATTTATACAGTCTTCAAGCTGATCCCTTCACTGAAGGCTGTCCATCCAGGCACGCTTCAGAGGTGCTGAGAGGAAAAGACCTCTTTTCTTGGCTTTGGTCATTTGTTAGGATTAGTAGCTTCACACAGAGGAAGTGACCCCAAAATCAATGTGCCTAAGGGTATGAATGGAAAGAATCAAACAGTCAGTGTTATCATCAACAGCCCCATGTTAGGATTGAAGCCAGCGGAAGAAGCCAGCAGAACCTGTGCCCAAAAATGGACTGGGAATAGGCTGAGGCCTCTTCACTCCCAGGAACACTGGGACCTGGCCAGGGAGATGGCCAGGACAGACTAAAGAGGGATGTTATGGTTTGTGTTTGGATGGCCCCCCCCCAGCCTCATGCAATCATGGAGGCAGCTGAGTCTAGCATTTGTGATTGGTTTGTTGTCTAGCACTGGGATTGGCAGTGTGAGCACTGTACCCATCCAGGGGGCAGGGAGCTGACATACTATAAGGGAGGGAAGAAAGTGTGCTTTTCCCTCTTTTGTCCTTTAGCTCTTGTGGCTTGCTGCCGCCATGAATGGCTGCCCCTTAGCCACACCACCCTGACTTGGAGATAGCTAAGTATGGATTGAAACCTCCAAAACCTGTAAGCTAAATAAACCTTTCCTTCCCTAATTTTTGCTGTCAGGTATTTTGTCTCAACAGCAAGAGAAAAGTAACCGAGACAAGGAGAGGTTAGAAGCTAAGGGAAGGGAGAGACAGGATTGGGCTAGGCTCTGACACCATGCCTATATGACAATGTTTGGCTAACTACAGTTCTGGTTTGTGACCTACGTGTGTGTCTCCCATGCTGGGTGAGGAGAAGGTTACACGATATGCATGCAATGTGCGTCACTCACTATGTTAGTCTTCCACATTCCTACTTAGAACACCTGTGCCTGTCAGATAAGACAGGAACTCAATTAGGCTCCAAATGCCATCATTTCTAGCAATTACAATCATGCACAAACAATGGAAAAAACTCAACAATGGGTCTGATTTGAAACATTAACTTTGAAAAATGCTTGCAAATGAATCATTTCATCCACAATCAACTTCTGGTTTATTTTTTTCTCCTAGAGATAGAAAATAGCTAATTACTGAGAAAAGAATTGGGGGAAATTTTCCACACACATAATTTGTGTCTAGAAACAGAAACAAACATCTCTGGAATGCATAAAATGATTCCATATACAATCTGCTATCTTGATAGAAAATCTTTTAATGTAGCTTTTGTGGATGAAATCCCACTTGAAAAACATCTGTGATTTCAGGCATGGCAAACTTGAAATATGCGTGTATTAGATGTGTGGGTGTACATATATATTCGCTATAATAGAGTCACTGTGCTTTTCGCTCTATGTAACCCACGCAGAAGTGGGCATGAAATGATTAAATATCAAAAACTCAAGCTGCTGCACCCCAGGAGGATGTCTGACATAGCAACCCAAAAAAGTCTCATAAAGTCAGTAGCTACTATGCAGTGGGAAAGATTTGGTAACCATAGCAACTTGCTTTAGAAGTTGGTCTTTCCCTGCCAAAACTCAGGTAGGCCCTGTAGGCCCTCCACCCATCACATAGCAGGGAGAGAGAAGCCACTGGAAAGACGCGGCAGGCCAGCTATGCAAAAAGCACACAAAGTAAGCAAATCTCCTGAGGTTTCGGTGCTGCTTGAGTCTGTGAAGAAGCAAACTCAGAGCGAGAATGTGGACAATCGGTGAGGGCCGGCCATGAACAGTGGATTTCAGACTCTTGCAAACAAAGTGAGAATTCTTGGTCATGAATTCTTCATGCTAGCTGTGGCCCTTCTGATATAAATTGGCATAGGACACAGAAAAAGATCAACACACACTCAAAAGCCTGAACTGCTAAGAGGATCCAGATAGACCACGTGTATTTCCTTTAAACTGCTGGAGAGGAGGGATTGGACTTAACCCAAAATCCCACTAGGCATCGATGGATTTTGTGATTGTGGCATTAGAAAATGTTTAACTGTAAGGAAACTGCAGATAATTGATTAGAGTGAGCTCAGGTCATCTGATCAAATTCTTTACCTTTAGGATATAGTTAGACAATAGTTCCTGTGCCAAGAGAACCCGTGATCCTCAGTAACCGCATCTCTGGAGTGGGCATCAGGTGAGCATCCCAAATGCAGAGTGGGGCCTAGTGCAATTGTGCACGACACTGACTCATCTGCCTGCAGCACTCTGGATGGTGAGCACTGCCTCGTCTTGCAGAATGCCCTCCTCATCTTGCAGCATGCCCTCCCCGGGTCACAGGACCCATTCTTTTGTTCTCCTCTGACCTCTCCCCTCCTCCACAACCCACCTCCACCTTCTCTTCCCTAACTCTCGATCAGCTAAACCTTGCCCCCTTTCCATTTGTCCCATTTCCTATGAAACTCTATTTAATATCAGAGGTCTCACTGTACCTGTATGCTGATGACTCTTTATATCCGAAGCTCTTGAGTGCAAGACTGACAACACCACCTTCTCGAAACATCTGTGTGGATGTCTAATAGCCATCCAAACACAGCAGGGCCCCAACTGTCGTCTTAGTAAACGGGAGACACCACAACCCAAGTACATCCCATGTGCACACCCTCCTGGCTCCCACCCTGCTCCAGCCTCCCATCGCACTGGCACAGCCCCAGTGGCTCCTGGACTCCCTGCCTTTGTCTCCCTCTTTTCTGCAGTTTATTTTCCACACAGCAGCCAGAACTTTCTAAAATACATCAAATTTTATCACTACTTGGCTTAACACCTCCCCTCCCCACCCCCATATCGCCTGATCACAGGAACAATAAGAGCTTGAGTTCTGGCCCCTCATCTGAGCTCCACGTGAT